TTTGATTCATATATCCGTCTAAAATCTGATTTCCTGGAAGTAATATGTCGAGATTTTAAGAAATATATGTTTTTTCGTATGAATATCTTTCAGACAAGAACAGTACAAGTTGGGCATCTTTCAGATCTAGCTACCGAGAGAGAAATTCACGAGTTTTTCTCCTTTTCTGGCGACATAGAGCACGTTGAGATCTGCCGGTTCGTTACTGCCATATCAAGATTAAAATTGAATTAAAATTTTGTTACTATTATGCATGTTGTCCTGATTTTGATTCTTTTTGAGGTTGCAGCGATTCAGTACAAAACAAGACTGCATTTGTCACGTTTAAAGATCCAAAGGCTCTTGAAATTGCATTATTGCTATCGGTAATCCTTCAATTTAGTTATTTCCCCTTTTTCTATTGAAGTAGATATTCTGTATGATTGTTTAAGATTTTCATGACCTAAAACTGTTGATACACGATACTTCCTCCTCTGTTAACCGAGGTATTTTAACTTTCAATGTCAAACTTAGAATTACTTCAATTTTAGTTAGTATTCATTATTTTAGGGTTTTGACATTGTTTTCTTTTTGTATATATAATATTTATTGGAACTTTTGAAGCAGTTATAGGATTTTTAATCAAAAAATAATATGTAAATACCAATTTCAAAATTGAAAATAGTTTGTTTGATTGCTAAACTAAATATAGCATAACTGATGTAGGATGCCCAGAGTACTCCTCATTCCATCAAAAATCCATTTCTCTGTTTTTCTTAATTGGCCAATAAACAGATTCTGATTTCAGATTTGTACATTCTGAAGTTTATGATGTTCCTGAAGTACCCTTTTTTAAAGATCTTCTGGAGATCCTCATCTTAATTTGTATTTAGTCAAGGGTAGCAATTTCCTTCTATATCCTATATCTTTATATTTCAGCTGAGTTATGTATCAAAATTTGCTTATTGGTCTGTATGTGTGTGTATGCAATTTTGCTTGCATGTATATTAGAAATATACAAAATTCAATTCCGATTTCTTGGAAACTTGAAATTTCCAACAGTGTTTGACAAATTTGCAGCTACTCAAGTCAACAAACTACGACCACAAAATTGTGGCTGCATATTAATTCCACTTTGTCCAGCGGTGACTCTTGGGTCCTACTTTGGAATACATGAGAAAAATTCCACAATTACACTAAAAGAATTAATTATATATTTTATATTTTGTATTGCCACACTTTTTTATTAAGCAGCCTGCGTTTGTCTTTATCCCTGTGACACCACAAATTATGTTTATTTATTAATAATTTAATATCATTGTTTATCCAAATCTTGGGTCCACTTTTACCACTAATTAGTTGGCTCCTGATTTGTTTGACCCCTTTTTGGTTAAGTGATAGTTATAATTTTATTTATTTATAGATATAAAGCAGATATATAACAACCTAACTTATCAAAACTGAAAGATATATCTCTAATTTAAATCTTTACAGGGAGCTACCATAGTGGATCAGATTGTTAGCATCACACCTGTAGAAAATTATATGCCACAACCCAAGTTCCAGGTAATGGCTATTACGCGGTATATAAATATATTTTCATTTTACAATATTCAATTTTTTTTCATGATGTCACTTCTTGCAGGAAGTTCGTGAAGTAGATAATGCCATGAGTATGTCTCCAGGAAACCTTTCACCAAATGCAGAGGTAAATTTAGAATAATAATCACAACAAAACCGAACATGAAAAAGTTGCAATCAGTCTTTAAAAATTTGATTTTTTTTTAATAAATAAAACAGGGGAATGGTAGTTCTCCTAGGAGTGGAAGAGTGTACATGAGTAAAGCACAAGATGTTGTAACAAGTGTTCTTGCTAAAGGTTCAGCAATCAGGCAAGATGCTTTAAATAAAGCTAAAGCATTTGATGAAAAACACCAATTAAGAGCCAATGCATCTGCTAGGGTGAATTCACTGGACAAAAGAGTAGGGCTCACAGAGAAATTTAGTGTTGGGGTTTCAGTTGTAAATGAGAAAGTTAAGTCAGTGGATCAAAGGCTGCAAGTATCAGACAAAACAATGGCTGCAATAATGGCAGCTGAAAGGAAACTAAACAACACTGGATCAGCTGTCAAATCAAGCAGGTCTGTAATAAAACTTCAAATGCTATCTATCTCCATTTTGTTTCCAAATTTACCCTCTTGACTGTGTTTACTGTTTAGGTATGTGACTGCTGGAACAGCTTGGCTGAATGGGGCTTTTGGTAAAGTGGCAAAGGCTGGGCAAGTTGCAGGAACGAAAACTAGACAAAAATGGAACATAGCAGTCTCAAATTTAACTGCAAAGGTATGTATATATCAATGTGTTTTAATTGCTTCTAGTATATACTATATATGGACTAAAGTAATAGTAGTATCTTACTTTGTAGTGTGTTTATTTATGGCTTGCAGGATTCACCAATTGCTGCATGATGAGAGTTTATACTTTATAGACACAGCTGCATGCATGCATATTCATATTCTTGTTGAACATGCCATATGGGGTTCTTACTTCTTTCTCAATCATCAAAATGATTATTGAGGTGTATAATTAGAGGTGTTTGAGATTTGCGAGCTTTGTGTGGGATTGGAATTGGATAGTTTAGTAGTACATGTTTCTTCTTCTACTTTGTAGTGTGTTTATGGGCAGTTTTGTCAATTCATTTATATTTGTTAATTGTTGGTATATTCTTATGTAAACTCGAGGGTATTGTGCATTAAGGTCCAGTGATTTTCAAGTGTGTAACTTCTAGGACGTAAGTAATTAATGATGTGGACTTCATTTAAAACTTCTATTATTGATGCAAGCCTAAATTATTTGTACACAAGGTTTCATTAAGACTATTTTTTCTTTTATTTCAGAACTAAGTTTCGAGTATTTTACAAATTTAGTACATGATTGTTCCTTAAAAAACTGAAGAGAAACAAACTATTAAAATAACAAACGGATAAATAGTTTATTCACACTACAAATCCACAAAAATAAGGATGGTTTACAGGGTCCCATGTGGATTCAAGACGTATCCGTTAAGTCAATAAAATTGGCTGGAGTGAGTTTATTCTTGTGAAGAAAGGGTCAAAGGAACGTCTGTATCGAAATGTGAGTTTAACGGCGTTATGGGAAGGAAATCTACGTGTTAAACGGCAACCTGACTAACGTGTCAAATCTGTCGATCGGGTTTACGTGGATGCACATCTCTTCAGACCCACCGCTCATCGTATGTACCAGCGTCCTTTCCTAGATAATCTCATGGTTTTTCCGTCAATTCAACGATTTCCTTTAGGACAGGTGAAATACCCAAATCACCCTTTCTCCTTCTCCCCCACACTTCTCTCTGCGCATTTGGGCATATTCTTCAAACCGATCCCTTATCTCCCACCTGCCCTAGGAAAATTCCCCCAAAACGGAACGCATTCAAAAGGCCAGAAGTTTGGGAGATAAAGGGAGTGTGTGTGTGTGTCTTTGGGAGTTGGTTTGGTTTTTGAGATCAAAACTGACTTGATATTTAAGGTAATTATCACATCTTCGCTCCATATCTCTGGTGCTTTTCGATATCTTTTCTTGATTTGATTCGTTCTTCGATAGGGTAACCGCCAGTATTTGCCATTTTGGACCATTTTGTTCCGTCTGTTTCAGATTTCGATCGCAAATTTCGATCTATCGGTATTTTCTTTTACTTCGTATCTCTTGTTTCTAATTTTTTTTTTCATGTAGACGTATGTGGGGTTATCTGATCTTTTGAAAAAAGACGTGATCTTTTCATGTTGATGTGATTAGTTTTGACTTTTATTATGATTGATTCTGGGTCCATTTTGTTTAAACGTGTACATCTATACTCAAAAAATGGACGTACGTACATTGCAATTTAGAGATCATAATGAATCAGTTTGTTGTTCTATCGATCTTTTTATGATATATTATGATCTGCAAACCTGCATTTGATCCGAATCTTTGACCTTTTACTTGGTTGCTTACGGGGTAATTTTAATTGCTGTTTGGGTAATAAATTCACGAGACGATAAGATTTTTCCGAGCCCTCTGCTAAGGTGCATTTTTGAATAATCTAATTTGAGATCGAAACTATGCTCTTTGATGATAAGAAGCCAAATTATGAGAATTAAATGTTGATATTTCAATAGTGTGCAGTTTCATAACTATTTACATCTACAACTGCTGGCATCGCACTCGTTTGTAATTCATACAATATGTGGCTTTAATAGATTTTGTCTTTGAAAATCAGTCCATAATATGATTTTTGTCTCTGCTTGGACTTTGTCCTCGGTTATGTTACATGGCTCAAAGATCCTGGTATTTTTGACACTTTTACTTTCGGATTTTGCCTTCTTATTAACTGAATAAGATCAGATTTTAACGAGGAGTTTGATAGCATGTTTTTAAACTGCGGATATATGTGTGGGCCCAAACTAATCTTTTGATTCATAAAGAGGATCGTGTCAGCAGCATGAGGAAAACAATGTAAAGTACAAAGTACATACTTGATGATGCATCATTTTTTCTGTTTCATCTTCTTTTTTTATAGTTTCTCAAAAATTAAAGTCTCTTTGGTGAAAGTTTTGTTTAAAACATTTCCATTATGTTTCATCTTTCCAAGAGTTGGTAAGTGCACTTCATTTTTAATAAATCCAGTGTTGCCATGTAAAATTTGATAAATTTCATGACTTGTGATATCTTGGTTTGTATTGCCAGCTGATTTTTTTTTTTTTTACTTGGAAAATAATCCATGATCTTAATTACATGTTTAAAGATTTTCTTACTTGCAGGCGACTCAGTCTACTAGTTTCATTGTTGCTGTGTTCTTCCAAATATGTGATGGCGCGTTTGTGAATGTGATCTTTATCCAGTTTGTTTACAGTAAACATGGCGATGATGGCAGTTGTTTGATGAACCCTTATCTTTAAGATTGTCTTAATCATTATAGTTAACAAGTATTATAGTAGTGCTGTAAAAAGTGTCTGTAGCTAGTGATGGATCAGATAAATTTACTTCACAGTCAAAGAAAAAACCTCCAAGGTCCAGGTGGCAAGTCCTCAACAAGTGGGTCCTCCAAAGATCTATGGCTAGCAGTGCATGGAGGGTCTGTGGTAGATGTAGATTCAGCCTTGGTCTCACTGAAGAAAAATGGAGGAAACATCAATTCAAGAAACACTTTTGGCCTTACCCCTCTTCATATTGCAACATGGAGAAATCACATTCCAATTATCAGAAGACTACTAGCTGCTGGTGCAGACCCTAATGCCAGGGTACATCTATCTTCTCATCTTTTAGATATCAGATGAAAAGTTTAACAACTTTTTCAATCTTCAGGATGGAGAATCTGGATGGAGTAGCCTTCATCGGGCGTTACATTTTGGTCATTTGGCTGTTGCTAGTATTCTTCTTAAGTCAGAAGCCTCTGTTGCAATTGAAGATTCCAAGTCAAGAACACCTGTTGACCTTCTCTCTGGGCCTGTTGTACAGGCTAATGGCAATGGAGATGGTTCAGGTAGTCCAACAAAGAACAAACACATCCTTATAATAAATATTACTCCATTGATACAATTTCCTGAAGGAATGTTTGTTGTGCATTTTCAGTGGTGACAGAGCTGTACAGTTGGGGTAGCGGTGTTAATTATCAACTTGGGACTGGAAATGCTCACATACAGAAGCTCCCATGCAAGGTTGACTCACTTCATGGATCCTTCATCAAGTCCATTTCTTCAGCCAAGTTTCATAGTGTTGCTGTGAGTGCTGATGGTGAAGTTTTCACTTGGGGATTTGGTCGCGGTGGTCGCCTTGGCCACCCTGATTTTGACATCCATAGTGGTCAGGCGGCAGTCATAACTCCTAGACAGGTAACATCCGGATTAGGGGCCCGCAGGGTCAAGGGAATTGCAGCTGCTAAACATCATACAGTTGCTGTCACAGAGGGTGGTGAGGTCTTCACCTGGGGTTCCAACCGAGGTAATTACTTACTTTTTTACCCTAAAACAAATACAGACAGACTGATTAATTAATAATTATATGATGATTTTTGCAGAGGGTCAACTTGGTTATACTTCTGTTGATACTCAAGCAACCCCAAGAAGAGTTAGCTCATTAAAGTCAAAGATAGTTGCTATTGCTGCAGCAAACAAGCACACTGCTGTTGTTTCTGATTCGGGTGAGGTTTTCACTTGGGGTTGCAATAAAGAAGGTCAACTTGGTTATGGAACTTCAAACTCTGGCTCAAATTACACCCCGAGGCTCGTTGAGTATTTGAAAGGAAAAGTTTTCATTCGTGTGTCAGCAGCCAAGTATCACACTGTGGTTTTAGGAGCCGATGGAGAGGTATGTATTTTTAGAAAATAAAAAAAAAAGAATGAAAATTGTTGCAGTGATTATAATTTTCCAGGTTTTTTTTTTTTTTTTTCTTCAGGTATTTACTTGGGGTCATCGGCTTGTAACTCCAAGACGTGTAGTTGTTGCAAGGATTTTGAAAAAAGTTGGAAGCACTCCTTTAAAGTTTCACCGGTCAGAACGCCTTCATGTGGTTTCAATTGCTGCAGGGATGATGCATAGCATGGCTCTTACCCATGATGGTGCATTGTTCTATTGGGTGTCTTCTGATCCTGATCTTAAATGTCAACAGGTCCATCATCATCATCATCATCCATCATCCATCATCATGCCTCTCTTATTCATTGTTTCTTTGATGTAGTTATACGGGCTTTGCGGGAAAAGTATGGTTAGTGTGTCTGCTGGAAAGTACTGGACAGCTGGAGTTACAGCATCCGGTGATGTTTACATGTGGGATGCAAAGAAAAGAAAAGACGAAGCTCCGGTCATAACTCGATTACATGGCATCAAAAGGGCTACTTCAGTTTCAGTTGGTGAAACACATCTGTTGGTGATTAGTTCTCTCTATCATCCTCCATATTCTCTCAAGGCTCCAGATACCCCTCGGTGTTTAAAGAAAAAACTAAGTGATGATTTAAGCGAGCTGGATGAAGATTTTGCTTATAATGATATTGAAATTGATGAAAAGACATCAAGTATAGAAAAGAGTAACAGTGAAAACGGAAGTAAGCAAATACCAAGTCTGAAAAGTCTTTGTGAGAAAGTGGCAGCCGAGCATTTGGTGGAGCCAAGAAGTGCTTTACAACTTGTTGAAATTGCCGACTCACTAGAGGCACATGATTTAAAGAAGCATTGCGAGGTGGTGCCCATTTTGAGCTTTTGTTAATTTAAAGGGTATTTTAGACAATTGAACCCCTCTTGATAACTTTTGCAGGAAATTGTGATACGTAATCTTGACTATGTTCTTACGGTTTCGACACATGCAGTTGCTAGTGCTTCACTGGATGTTCTTGTGAATCTTGAAAAATCTTTGGATTCAAAGTCATCTGAAGCATGGAGTTATCGTAGGCTTCCAACCCCAACAGCCACTTTTCCTGCTGTTGTTAACAGTGAAGAGGATGATAGTGACAATGAGTTTCTCAGGACTCGTGATAACAGCAATGGTGGAAACATGGGTTCTCACAAGGAAAGAAGCCAAAGATTTGATAGCTTTTTACATCCATATGATGATGCGAATCAACAAGTTGGCAAGCATGTTCGGGCTTTAAGAAAAAAATTGCAGCAGATTGAGATATTGGAGGAAAAAAGAGCCAAAGGTTATCAACTCGATAGCCAACAGATTACAAAACTTGAGACACGACCAGTGTTGGAGAAGTCACTTATTGAGCTTGGTGTTCCTGTTGAAACGATTCAAGCAAAGTCAACTTCCCCGGTTGACCAGGGAACCAAAAAACAGAAGAGAAAGAGCAGAAGAAAGTCAACACAAGGGGAAGAGGCACCTGGTAGCCATGAATCTGATGCTAAATTGAACACAGTCAAGGGTTTCTTACCTTCTGAAGCTTCTCATGTTGACCACAAGGTATAACTGGATCTACATTGAACATATTTAGGACACATACATATTACATATATACATATGCCCTTAACATGGATACTTGTAATTCACAGGAGAAGGAGATAGATGACAAGGGCAAAACAGTGAATCTGGTTATCGAGGTGTCACCTAATAGCAACTCAAAGAAAGATCTTGCAAGCTCAAAAAACCGGAACACATCATCATCATCGTCATCATCATCAACATCATCAAAGAAGAAAAACAGGAAAGGCGGGCTTTCAATGTTCTTAAGTGGTGCTCTTGATGACACCCCAAAGATCGTTGCACCTCTTCCACCACCTTCACCAAAAAATGAGGGCCCCGCATGGGGGGGCACAAGTATTTCAAAGGGACCCAGTCCCACTTCTCTTCGTGAGATACAAGATGAGCAGGAAAAAACCATGGGAAGTAAGCCCATGTCCATTGCTAAAAAGAAAGATCAGTTGGAGGTTTTAGATGTGAAAACAAGTGGAAAACTCTCATTGAGTTCGTTTCTGCCATCAAACTCGAACCCCGTGGGTCCCAACCTGACCCCTCACATGCCAGATGTCGAAAAAAGCACCCCTCCTTGGGTTTCGGTTTCTTCAGGGACCCCACCTCTTGGTATAGGTATTGGTAGCAGGCCGTCTCTCAGGGGGATTCAGTTGCAAGAGGTGTGACACCAACATCATTTCTGTTTCTTCCATGCTTTTATTCTTGAAAATAAAATTTGATTTTGTATGATATATATATTCATTCAGGAGAAAAAGCAACAGACGTTATCACACAGTCCTAAAACAAGAACGACTGGGTTTGCTGTGAGCAGCGGTCAGGGTTCACCGTCCGATTCAGGTGGTGGTGGTGGTGGTGTGAACCGGTGGTTCAAGCCGGAGGTTGAAGCTCCGTCTTCTATAAGGTCAATTCAGATAGAGGAGAAGGCTATGAAGGATCTTAAACGTTTTTATAGCAGCGTTAAGGTTGTCAAGAATCAGTTTTAGAACAAGGGTGGGTGGGTGGGTGGGTTTATTTAAAATAGCAGCTCTGGTCTGGTTTGGCCTTTTTATAAAAATTTAACGGATCATTCTGGTGTCATGTTTCTTTCTGTAAATCAACTGTAGATATTTCGTTGTACATTAATTTCAGATTCTCTTCAAGTAGAATCCTTCAAATTGCATTCAGTTTGTTCTAGGGAGAGAGAGTTGGTGGATTCTTAGCGCTAACGACAACATCCTTAAACCTGATTTATGAACCTCTCTTTTAGGGAGTTAAGGCTGTAAATGGCATAAACTTGTAACATTTACCCTTTTGGGGTGCACATTCATCGTTTTCTTCATATTCTATTATAATTCACAACATTATTTTTTTTGGAACTTGATATCTGCACAAGAAAAGTTGAGAACATGTTCTACATAGGAGGTACAAAACATTTTAAGGTTTTGTGATATTGGGCTTGTGATATTGGGCTAGTAACAGTAAAGGGTGTGGTGCTATGGAAATATCATGACAAAGACCCTCCAAAAGTGTTTCATATCGTATCTATTTGGGCCCAGTATAGTTTTAAAGATCCATTTAGTCACAACCAAATGACCCAATAATCTATTAAAAAACTAATTTATCTTTCTTCCATCTATATAACCCAATTAAATCTAAATATTCATTCCCATTAATAATCCAATTCAAATCAATTATTTTATTAAAAAATATAACTTATAAATCCTTTTCATTATATTAAAATGTTTAAAGAATTAATTTTCTTTTGGAATTAATGATTTATAACAAAAAATAAAATAATCCACTGTAGATTCAAATAAAACTTTGGAAAAACATGCTAGTTGAAAAAAAAACAAACCCGAAAAGGTTAAAAATAAAGAATGAGATTGGATGTGAAAATATTACTATTTATAAATAAAAATAAATAATAAATGTTGATAATTTTTATATAATTTAAAATTAGATAACTATAGGTTTTTTGAAACAATAATTATTATTAAAAAAATAGTATTCAAATGTTTTCGCAAAGATAATAATGAGGATATATAATAAAATATCTCACAACCAAGAGCTTATGCACCAAACCGGTTGGATAACTAACTATAGGAATCTGTGAACATTACTAATATCCATTGCACTCTATTGAAATCCACCTTAACTAAAAGACAATCGAATCTTTGTGATAACATCCTTATCTCTTTTGTCTCTAAATATAATCTCTTGTTTTGTTTTGTTTCTATTTTAGTTTAATTGAATTTTAACAAATCCCCCATTTACTTTACTATTCATAGTTTAATTAATAACTAAATTATCATATCTGAATCATTCTCATTCCCTTTTTATTCGAAACCTAGTCTTACTACAACTATACTGTTGCACATGTAGGTATACTGGCTAGTGTGTGTTAAAGTTTAGCTGTGATAGAATTAGTTTGTATATATTTAAAACTTCACTAATACTTTTTATATAGTTAACCACACATCAACTTCCATTACATTTTTAAGTCATTCGGGATTGCAAAATGGATTAAACATTGTTTGGGAAACACTTATACAAACACTTAATGCACTATTTCAATTAAATTTAACGGTTTGTTTAAAACTGATCAGGAAGGCTATTTTTAACTAAAGAGTATTTTTAGTTAAACATTTTCACAAGTATAGAGACAATAGAGCTTTTTAATGTTTTTTAGTATTGACTTATATTATAATATGAATTTAATATTATTCCAAGTTTGATACACAATTATATATAAAATAGACATGAAATCAAATGTTTTTACCATCGATCACTTGCTTTAAATTCTCATTTCATGATTGTATTTTCGTTTAGTCATTTAAAAGATCCCTTATTGTTGCTTTATGGATTGACTTATGTAGGATTTTCTTCAGTCATTGAAGGATATTCAGATGCTAATTGGATTGCAAATATTAAGGATCAATCTTCTACAAGTGTTTAGGTGTTCCTTATTAGCGGAGGTGCCATTTCATGGGCTTCCAAGAAACAAAAAATGCATCACAAATTCAACTATGGAATTTGAATTTATAGACCTTGTAGCGGTTGGAAAAAAACCAGTATGGTTAATGAATTTGATCTATGAAAGTCCTCTACGGATAAAGCCTATATTAATCGTCTCTATAAGTTGTGATAGTGCTACCATCTTGGCAAAAATCATACAATCAAGTGTATAATAGAAAGTCGCGATATATGGGTGTTAGGCATAGTATGGTAAGTGAGCTCATTATTCATGGTATAATTTCTATAGAGTTTTTTCGATTTCAACATAATTTAGCTGATCAATTGATGAAGGGGTTAGCTAGAGACTTGGTAAAGAAGTCAGTTATAGTGATGTGTTTAAGGCGTACTTGATATCTCTATGGGTGAGATACCCAATTCCCTTCTAATATAATGTTAGAAGTTGAATTAAATATGGAAAGTTTACTTATGGAGAATGGATCAAATTTATGTTATTACATCCTAAGGTATGTGCTTATGACATATGGAGCTAAATTAGGTTAATTAAGTTCTTAATAGTTATTTTGAAAAAGTGCATTAACAGGTGCATGATGTAAAAGGACTACGTATATGAGTGTGAAGTGTTGCTACTTCAGGAAGCTTGGGCTAGGGTTTTATGGACTTATAAATGGATAGGACATATTACTGTAATAGTGTTAAGTATGAAACATTAGATATTATGTTTAACTTATATGTATAGTATCTTTATTACTCAAATAAGTTGAAGGGTTGAATCCTTAGGACACCCTGATTCTCGAGTATTTGGCATGCATATTATACTAATGTGAAAATTCAATCTTTAAGATATTTTCATATATACATGAGTTTGGTTTCATGTTTACTTTTAGTTAATTGGGGATTACACTAAAATTGGGGGGGGGGGGGGGGGGGAGGGGGGATGTTGGTGATTTTAATGTTATCAACATATTTTAGTGTAGTTATTAGTATCGAGATATGTTGAGCTCCATTTACTCAACAAAACAGGAGGTGCGGGGTGTACAGTCAGAGTGATAAATGTCAACTCCGGAATACAAGGGTCCGGGCGCAGCCCCCCCTGGGTGTAGGGTTCCAAGGTATTGTACCCTTGGTGGGGTCTAGAGGCATGCCCCTAGCGGGGGTCTAAGGAGCAAAGTCTCAGGCGATGGTTCCATATGTTGTGGGCACATTCTAATAGATGAGTAAATGAATTTCATATATCATGGACACATTCTAAAAAGATTTCTATATCAGGAAAAACTCCAACCATGCATCTCCTGCCAAAAACAGGTTATGACATCATGACGATGCCAGATTCAGTTATGTATAAATAACCATATTTCTAACCATCATTTTGGCTTCAAAACTACATTTAACAACCATTAACTACCTTTCCATCCAGTATAAGAACATATTGCATGTTCTAGAAAATTGGTTACATTCTCTACACTCGAAATTTGTTCATTAGATTTTCTTTATCTCATCAAACACAAAATAGCAAGGCACTTTCTGTGTTTCGAATTTAGAAGTAGCCTGACTTCTAATTGTCATTTTTGGATTATCCCAAATCTGATTTCTTGCTACCTCAAACTATAGGTTGAAATCACAGATTTTGGAAAGTGATTGTAATCACGATCTTTAAAATTATCCAAATATATTGATGTTCTCAAGACCAAAAATTATTACAAATCTTTTGTTTTAGTATTTATGATTTTAGTAATATGTAAATCTTTTGTTTGTTCAAATAGTTTTTATTTTAGATTAAATAACATTTTTGGATTAATTTTATAAATTCTTTATAAACAAAATATCCAACCAATCATAACTATATTTAAAATTTTGAACATTTATAAATCACTGTTATCCAAATTTTGTTTAATGTACATGTAGTTGATTAATTTGTTTTTAAAGAAGTTAAAGATTTTGTTGATATTTCCACAACACCTTTGATTCATCAAGCATTAGACTTTGGCCTTGACAACAAACGGTTATGGTGTTTAAAAGAAATTTCCTAGTTTCACTTTTATAACCTAAATGTTAATCTCGTCTGGATTTTTGGTTTTTCAAAAATTCTGCTTTATTGACTAGATGAACATTTATTAATCCAATTAATTACTTAACAAAAACAAGATCAAAAAACTGATAAACAAGTGCGGAATCAACATCTTTTGTTGTTCATATAAAAACCAAACTATGACCGGGGAAGATGTTGACTCAATCAAACTGACTTGCAAAGGAAAGGTGTATGATACATATAACTACTAAGTATTGATCCGGTGGAGGAGAAGAAACATGACGCCGCTGATGAAACTAAGTCTACGGTGGCGCCACTACATCTGAATCCTTAGCAATACTACTACGAAAACTATGAAATTCCCTATTATGCATATGAGATTTAAAATTTTATCAACAAAAAACCGAGAGAAATAAATCAAGTGGTAAAGCAACAAAGCTTTCATGATTCCATGTGTTTAAGTCTTCTTTTAAGGACTTCCCAAGCCTTTTCTTGTGTTTTGCCCATATTTACTAAGAAGTAAGGAGTATGAATATCAATGAATAATATTTTCAGTCGATGAATAAAAAGTTACCCATGGAAGAATAGACTCCCTTTTTTATATCACAATGTATATGTTATTACAATAAGATAACAATAAAAACCATTTCAAAGTTTATAAATCAAATTAAATCAAATCAAATCATTTTATTAAAAAGAAGAAGAGAGATAAAAAAAGATATTGGTCCAATCTCAGTCCAAATAAAGGCTAGTGTTTGAAGGTCATAACTAAAAACAATTGGACCGTGTAAATGGAGGACATTACCCAATCGAAAATAAACCCAATATGACAAATCGAGTGTGCATTGTGCAAGTGCAAGCGACACTGTGCAATAAAAGTTGATGCGACTCATATGCTAACCATGGAGATTTAAAGATGAAGCCACCCGTTTCTTCTCCATCACGTTCCATTAGGGCGCGCAAATAAAAAATCATATGCAACAAGATTGCAAGAATATGGTAAAAGAAATAC